TAGCCATGGCTTTGAAACAAGAGCCTAGTTCATTATGTGAAGAAACCTCTTAGGTTCATTAGACAGAGCTGCATGCTTAAGAAGCACATGCTTGGCATGGGCAGTGGTGCAAACGGGCGCTTCACTTTCATGCCAAGAGACGGTTTAGGGGACAAGGTGCATTTTCTGTTGGGTCGTTGGTGCAGCAGGAAAGATTCCAGTGTTGCTATTTGCAATGAAAAAATGGTGCACATGATGTGAAACCATGTGAGATTATATAGGTAGGCAGGCACAGATAAAATTTTAATCAGTATTAAGTATTAAGCATGTAATGTAGCCAAGATTGGAAATGAATCACTGGGGAAACTTGAGAAAAAAAGGAAGAAAAAAAGAAAACAGCTAAGGGGAAGCCAGAATGCACCTCACTTTCCCTGGGGTGTGATTGCTCCAAGATGCCCAGAGTCTCCCTCATATAGTAAAGACGGGTGAGTGGAAGGCAGCTTGGGATGCACTAGGAGATTTCTGGGTGACTTGCAGAGGCTGGACAAAGGTCTGTGGTTTCCTATAGTTTAACAATGCCAAATAAAATGGAAAGATAAAAGAATCTCTGCCATGGCTGCTCTTGTGCTAGCCACTTTTTGCTTTAGTGTTTCTCACCAATAAAATATGACCAGTAGTTCCCTTTGCACAGTTCTGTCAGGTTCTTTGAGGGTTACTCAGATGTAGGTTTGCAGTTGCAAAAAGGCCAACTGCTATTTTAGGCTGCAGTAATAGAAGCATCACTTCCAAATCCCATGAATACTACTTCTGCTTTATTAAGACGCATCTGGAGTACTGTGTCTAACACCGTTCAAGAAAGATGCAGACAAGCCGGAAAGGGCTCAGAGGAGGGCAGCAAGGATGATCCAGGGGCTGGAAACAGAGCCCTATGGGGACAGGTTGAAAGAACTGGACACATTTAGCCTCAAGAAAGGACAACTGAGGGAAGATGTGATAGTGCTCACAGAGGAAGGACACGAGCTCCTCTTGGTCATGCCAAAGTACAGGACATGGAATAATGGGTTGAAGTCACAGGAAGAAAGATTCCAGCTAGAAATCAGGAAAAAATTCCTGCCTGTTAGAGCAGTACGACAGTGGAACCAGTTACCTGGGGAGGCTGTGGGCGCTTCCACACTGGAGCCATTCATTGGATGCATCTGGGAAGGTGGTTTCACTTGGAGTCGTACACTGAGCAGGGCATTGGACCCTATGATTTTATATCTCTCTGTGGAAGTGCAATAGGTCATTGACACACATGCACCAGGCTTTGATTAATGGACCTTGGGTTCAGGAAAGAGATGCAGAAACAGAGCAAGTCAGAAGGGGTCTCCCAGGCCATCTAGTCTGACCCCTGGCTCCAGCCGGCTTCACTCAGGCTGAAAAGACCAAGCTCCCTCAGTCTCACCTTATACAGCTGCAATTCCCCTGCAATCCAGCCACCATCCTTGTGGCCCAATCCCTCACCAATTCCAACCTGGCTATATCCTTCTTGTAATGTGGAGACCAGAACTGAACAGAATACTCCAGTTGTGGGCGCACCAGCGTCTCATAGAGTGGCAGTAATACCTCTCTTGATCTAGAAGCCACACTTCTGGCTATGCAACCAAGGGTGTAACCCATTAGGGCCTAGCGCATTTGTAACATCCAGTGCCCTGAGGAATTCCTCCACTTCCGCCATGTCCCTAAATCCCTGGCCTCATCTGGTCCCCCATGCAGATCTCCCCTGTCCTGCTCTGGGGAGAACACAGGCAAAATAGTCATTTAGCATCTGTGCCTGTTCCCTCGTATCAGTCACTGGATCTCCTTCCTCCTTATTTAGCAGTCCCACCACTTGTCTCCCCTTCCTCTTGCTATTTACATGCTGATAGAAGCCCTTTTTGTTGCTGCTGCTATTCTTTGCAAGTCTCAGCTCATGAGACTTGCAAAGAATAGCCTTGCAAGAGATAAAGTAATTCTCACCGAGAGCAATTGTATGGCTCCTAGTCATTGTCTGAGGAATCATAGCACAGGGGGGGCTCCCTGCACCAGTACCAGAGACAGAGCTCCAGCCTCAGAAGGGAAGCCATGGAGTGAGCCCCACATGGCCAACATGGAGAGCGCCACACTGCCCCGAGGTCAGAAGAGGGGAGAGGGGGTGTTCTGGTGGGTTGTGGGTTGTGGGGGAAGAGAACGGAGAGGCAAGCACACACACGATCTCGAGCTTCTTTCGGCCTCCTTCCCTTCCCTTCTGAAGCACCCTCCCACCATGGGCTGAAAAGCCAGTTTAGCAAAATATGCAGGGCAGAAGGGCAGGCAGGAGAAGACTGCAAAGAATGCCTCCCACCCTCTGCACTGGATGACCTGAGGCATCTGGCCTCAGGAGTTTCCCCGTCTTCAAGGGTGCAACTGATAGGACCCCTAATTAGAAAGGTGGCAACCACTAGGAAATACTCCTTGCTAACAGATCGTTGTTGCAAAGTGAACCTGTTTGTCCAGAAAAAGGCCTCCCTGTCCTTGTGCAGACTTACCCCCAGGAAAGTGTGTGTAGGACAACAGCTGCAGTCACACTGAACTCAGTGGACTTCTAAGCAAGAGCACTTAAGGTCACAATGTATATTTTTGAGTCAGTTGAACTCAGTTGCCTTTTCTTGCTCAACTGCACCTAAGAATTTAAAGGTAGTAAAACAAAAAACAAACACAAGAAAAACCTTACAACCTACCACAGAAGCTAGTAAGAACTTAAAAATCAACCCTGAATAAGGTCTTTTTTGTTTTTTCAAAGAATGTTCCCAACAAAATCTGAATAATTCCCTTACTATTTGATTGTGGTTTGACAAGGGAACAAGAATTTTCTGGCTATTAAACTTCAGTTTAAAACGTCTTTTATTATATTATTCTTTTACTACAAAGGTGCACGGGCCACTTGTGAAGCTGGCTGTGATGAGCATATGTACTCTATCGCACACATACACACTCACACACACCTCCCTTCACTAAGACAGTGGGCAACAGTGGACCCCACAACAACCCACTCTGCAAATCAGCTAGCAAGGGTAGTTCTTTGTGGAAGAGCGTGTGATGGCAGCCTGCAGATGATCGTGCTCACCGTGGGTTGCCCCTTATTCTTTCCCTTTTGATCCCGCTTGGCCATGTTCCACGGAACCCCATGGCAGGACTCACCCTGCCTAGTGCAAGACCACAGTCATGTGCCCCTGTGCACTTGCCGCGACCTTTCTGCCTCTGAGCCTGTGATGGCCGCTTCACTGCACCCCTTGGGCATCGGTGGGATGGCGGGCACGGGGGGTGGCCGAGCTCCAGGCAGCCGAACATTGTACACACCTGCTCGACCGTTACCTGAAGCCATCGTTTCTCCACTTGCCTATCCAATGTCACCTCCATGTCTTCAACGAGTTCCATCACTGGGAGGGCTCAGTAGCAGACCACACATTTCGCACAAAGAAACCTCAGGTTTAAATTCTTGGCATCTCAAAGGATGGCTGGGGAAAAACTCCTCTCTGAAACCTCGGTGAGCCATTACTCCCAGTGGGAGTAAAAAATTGTGAGCGATGGACGGATTCAGTCGAAATGCCATCCCAATACTGAACAGGGCACTCCATCCTTTCATTGCTGAGCAGGTTTTGGCGTTTCACTAGACAAATGTGCCTCAGACTATCGGGTGAACAAGGAACAAGCCATACGACTTGAACAAGGAACAAGCCATACGACACACAACATGGACGTACAAGGCATGGCTCTAGCAGCTAAGCACAGGTTAATTTTTTTTAAATAATAAAAAAACACTCCTATTCAGTACGGGCAGATTGGTTGAAAAAGCTCACCCAGAAGCTGAACTTTTAGCAGCATTCAGAAATTGAAAAGAGGCCCCTACCCCGTGAGACATTCCTCCCAGGAGCAGTAAGCACAGAGATCTTTCCCCCATCTCCTTCTTTACCCCTCAGTATGGCAACCAAGAATTGCATTGTGCATTCCAGCTCAGTTCACAACATTCAGATAATCAGAAGAACTGTAATCTGAGCTATAAATCCTGCTTGTTAGACTAATTTACATTTCCTGAGAAGCAACAAGCTTTTAAAGTATGAAAGTTGGATTGGAAAGCTTCCAAGTTTCAGCCTGTGGTCTGTTACATCCAGAAGGTTCCAGATTCCATTTCTGGTATCTGCAGGTAAGCCATCTCAGGTAAGGGTGCTCAGAAAGACCTCTGCCCAAGACAGCAAGGCTCAAGTATTCAGGACAAAAGCCAACCGCAGAGAGTTGCATGAAGATCAAATTCTCAGATTTCATATCCAAATCATCCAGGCGTGTGTGTGTGTGTGGGGGAGACCACTGAGGATTCTGTGTCTGATGACCCCCCAAATCCTGGAGCCAGGATAAGGCAGTTTCAGATGTTGCTTAAGAAGCGATACTTACATTTAAGATATAAATAACAAATGGGATGCTACCCACAGATTTCCCCATAGGTACGCACACACATTCACAAACCAAAATTGAGTATATAGTACTCAAGACAAACATGCACAAAAAGTACACGTTTCCCCATTCTTCCATTTTGTGAATGCAACACACTTTTCTCTTTTCACTTGAAAGGGCCATAAGAGATGGACACATGTCTTTAGGAGCAAATGCTTCAAAGGGTGGTGTGGAAGAAATTGCCTGGCATTTTCAAGACATGCAGCAAGAGTAGGCCTGGGAGGCAGGAATGAGAGGAAGAGGTGATGAGAAGCAGGAAAGGAAGGAAGGAGAGTTGCTCCGTGACCCACAGCATGATATGATGAACATTCTGCAATAAACACTTCAAAGAAATGAGTGCATTGCATGCATAGCTCCAGGAAGGGTTTTATGGCTGCTTAAAAGAAGTTTGTTCGAGGGCCACAGGCGAGCCACAGAGTTGGTGGTTTGGTGCCTAATTCTCATGCAAAGGCTCATGCCATAGTTCATTTAAACACTCTTTTCCACCCATGAAGAGGGAAGCATTGTTACGATGCCACAATAGGTGGTTTGCTATTTTTTATTGAGCTGGTATCAGTCTGGGGACAGACTGGCAGTTGGCAGGGAAGAAAAAACACACCAATTTGTCATTGAATCAATAATGTCAAGATAACACCTGCTACCTACAGTTAAGGTTTTGTCGTTCTCCCCTAAGAATGCATGTCACAGCCAATTAAGCCTTCGTCAACACGAGGGTGCCAAGGGAGGTCGTCAAACAAGCCCGTTTGCTTCTTCGTCAATGTCAGGGCGTGCCGATGGATTTCCAGCACAAGCGTTGCTTGTGAAGGTGGCCTTAGGGCAGAAGACTCTTCTCCAACCTCTCTAGTTGCTCTTCAAGAAACTGTATCTGTTCCTCAAGGTCCTTCTGTTCAACCAGTAAGGAGGTCTTCTCCTGTATAAAGTGCCGATAGTCCTCCAGCTGACTCTCATCCATGTATTTGGAAAGAATTCCCGACACCACCCTTTCTCTGCGATCCAGGTTTTCTTTCAAGTCCTTTGCATCCTCCCGCTGCCTGGACAGGAGTTTGTGCCGCTCGTGTAGTGACTGCTGAAGACAAACAACCGAAACAACTCAGAATTTAATCTATCTACAATCCTCACCTAGCATCTGGCATGCCTATAAGCAAGTTGCTTTCAATTATTATTATTATTAATAATATTCTTACATTGTCAATACTGTTGCTGCTACAGGTACTGCAAAACAGTATAAAGGCTATAGAGCAGGCTTCCCCACTCTGGTGGCCTTCAGAGGCATTTGGGCCACAACTCCCAGAATTCCTGTCCAGCAGGGCCACTGATTGGAAATTCTGGGTGTTGCAGTCCAAACATGTCAGGACGGCACAAGGTTGGGGAAGGCGGCTATCGAGAGTCAGATGTGCGTTTCCACTAGAGAGGGCTCCCCCCGCTTCCTTCTTGAAGGCTCACCTTCTCCTCGGCGTCTGTGTTTTCATCCATGGCTCCCATAGCGTTCTGGACCCGAGCGAGGCGGCTGGACAGGCACAAGAGCAGGCTCACCACCTTCTCCAGATCACCAATGAACATCATATAGCGCTCGTACTCATTGGGCTTGCAGAGGCCCTGCACCACCGACTCCAGCTCCTTGCTGCGCGCAGCGTGCTCCTGAGCCTCTGACTGGACCAGCGTCCTCTCGTCCCACAGAGCCTGCAGCCTGAGCTGGATGCTGGAGATGAGCTCTCTCTGGAAGAAAGGAGAGAAGCAGGGAAGAAATGAGTTGGTTGGCTGGTTGCTGGATGGGGAGCGGCAGGAAAAAAATATCCAGGGGCACAAATTGGTATGTGCTATGTGGCATGACACATGACATGGGTTAAAGGCTCATTTTTACTGCCTTTCAACTCCCTGTTGAGTTTGCGTGGGAGTAAAATAATGTCAAGTCTGTCCAGTTTTTCAATCATCTAGTGAGATCTAATGCTACATAACAGGAGTTATTTATTAGGCTGATGGGGAAGAATTGCTCCTTTTTGGGAAAGCCCATCTAGATAGGCTCTTTCATAAAATGTGGGCACAAACTTGACAGGTCTAAAATAAAGCAAATGCAGTTTATTATCCTGAAAATACAAGCAAAAGTAGCAGGATAAAAGATTATGAGTCTGTCAGACAGGCCAATATGATCATGTGATGCCAAAGCGAGGGGATGCCAAACGCCACTTGCTTCCGGTCCATTTCTGAGCCAAGTTCAAAGTGTTAGGAACAAAAAACCCCCAAAAGGGTTGGGACCAAAGGAAAGCTTTCTGTCAAATGCACCTGCTCCAGACATGGAGGTCATCCTTGGAAAGCCTCCACATGTTCCCAGAAAAGGAGCAAGGTGGGTGGCTATACAGGAGAAGCCCTTCTTAGCTGGGCATCTCACCTATGGAATGCCCTCACCAAAGAGGCTTTCCTGGTGCCTGCACTGTTATCCTTTTGGCATCAGACAAGGACCTTTTCTTTTCTCCCAGGCATTCTAGAAAACTAGCTCTAGACTGTTATGACTATTTTAGCAATTCCTACGCTACTTATAGTTTTTGTGTTGCATTGCAGTTTATTGTTTTAAAGATTTGTAAGGAATTTTAATCTTTTCACTGTAATTTGCCTGGAAAACATTAGCTATTGGGCAGTTTAGAAATTAGATAGATAGATAATAAAATAAATACCTAGAGGAATACCCTTTTTTATACCCTTGAATCTACAAGCCAGTGCCCCAAATCCTTTGTTTCTGGAAGGTGATCAGGAGCCCATTCTCCGAGCTCCAGATCACCTCCAGCTACCCTTGTCCTTAGGAGGCACCAGGCAGGAGAAGACACAAGATGACAGGAAATGAAGGAAAGCAAGTTACTGCCCCTAGTAATTTCTAACTTAAACTTCCATAACAAAATCACAGATTCCTAGAATAGTAGACTTGGAGACCTACAAGGCCATCAAACCCAACCCCCTGTTCAGTGCAGGGCATTGAGTTAAACCACCCTTCACAGATGGCTGCAGAGTTGCATCTTGAATGGCTCCAGGGTGGGAGAACCCACAACCTCCCCAGGCATTTGTTCCACTGTCATACTGCTCTAACAACCAGGAAATCTTTCCCAATATCTAGCCGGAATCTGGCTTCCTGTAATGTGAGCCTGTTATTTTGTGTTCTGCATTCTGGGATGATCAAGAAGAGATCCTGTCCTTTCTCTTTGTGACAACCTTTCAGGTACTTGAAGACTGTTAACATATCTCCCCCGCAGTCTTTTTGAGGTTAAACATACCCAGTTCTTTCAATATCTCCTTATAGGGCTTTGTTTTCAGTCCCTGGTTCCTACTTGTTGCCCTCCTCAGGTTGCCTGAATCTTTCCAGCTTACCTGCGTCTTCCTTGAACTGCAGTGCCCAGAACTGGACACAGTGCAGCAGGTGAGGCCGGACCAGTGCTGAGTAAAGGGGGACTAGTCCTTCCCATCATTCCGAAGTGATGCTTCAATTACTGTAGCCTAAAACAGCACTGTGCGTTCTGCAGCCATATCACATCGTTGAGTCATATTTATCTTGTGATCTATAACCACTCCAAGATACTGCTCACTTGCAGTACTGTGCAACCAAACATCCCCCGTCCTGTATCGGTGCGTTTGGTTTCTTTTTCCTAGGTGCGGAACGTGGCACTATCCCTATCCTCTTGTTTTCAAGCCAGAGCTGCAACCTATCAAGATCACCTTGAATCTTCTTTCTGTCTTCCAGGTATTAGCTATCCCACCCAGTTCGGTGCCGACGTCTAGCATCATGAGTAGTAGCTGGTGCCAGGAAATATGACCACACTATGCCAGTATTATACCCCTTTTGCAGCTCTTGGTTCAATGCCATGCCCTATTTGAAGTGTTGCTTCCAAATCTGCAATGTCCTTTGTGGGGCAAAACCTTTTCCTATTCTGACCCGTGACCTGAGCTCATCAGAGGGCCTTCGCTGCATTCTGCATACTGAGACAGGGACAGGCCTTCTCAGCGGTGGCACCTCACTGCTTTCCAGCTGCAGGTCAACACTTTTTTATTCTCTTAGATCGCTTAACATGCGCATTCTTGCTGCCCAATTGCCATCTATAATATCTTGCTCACTGCTACAACCTTCCCCCATCTGGAACCATGCTGGCTGAGGATTGTTGAAGTTGTGGTCCCACACATCTGGAGGGCTGGGGAAAGCTGAGCAACTAGTTTTAGATTTGCTTGCTTTCTTGGGCTGCTTTTGATCCTGATCCGATGTAGATCAGATTTTATGGGCTTTATTTCTGATTTACTGGAGGGAGAAAGGGAGGGATACATTGTATGTCTGCAGTGTCTTGGGCCCGGCACAAATGCCACGTGTCAGTTTCACCTCTACCTGATCTAATTTACCCTGGAGAAATCATATGAGCGGGGAGGCAGGGAGACCGACACGAGCCCTTGTTTACTGTGCACGATGGGCAGCATACAGAAATGTGAACATGCCATCATATACTTGGTCCTAGTCAAGACGGGCTTTCGAGCATGTAAAACAGGTTTGTTTGTTCGTTCGTACACAAAGGAAGCAAAGTGAGGCAGCTCTCTCAGGCAGCAGTTACTGGAAGGAAGGGAGCAGCTGGAGAAACAGCACTGCCCAAGCTAGTCCGCCTTAGAGGAAGCGGCTGTGTTACCAGAGTTGAAAGAAGGTTCAGTTGCCCAGTCAGCTCCTGGCTGGCTCCTCCAGTAACATCAAGCTGGCCCCAATTCAGCCACTGTGGCTAATATAAGCCAGGATCAACAGAGGAAGCCATGGCTTTTCAGCAGTGACTCTGCCAAGACGTACTATACATCCGAAGACATTCAACAGATACAAGGGCAGGGTGTCCTTTGGTTGCACTGTGCTGATAAGCTTCTGTCTCCTTGGACAGCAGTCCTGTATAGACTTCCCCGGGAGTACATCCCATTTAAACTCAGTGAACCTTACTTGTGAGTAGACACGCACAGTCAAACACTGCCACTCATCTACTTACTTTCTTGGATGTGATGCTCTCTGGATCATCCCAGTCCTCTCTGTTTTCTCTCAGGGCTGGGTTTATGTGAAGGGTCTCAGCTTCTGCTCTTCGTCCAAGAGAATTCCTGGTTCCACAAGAGCTGCCTGCTGCCTGCTGGCTGCTGAAATAGAGAACAGCCAGGCAATAAATTCTTCACTAGCCGTGTGACAGGGAGTTCACTAACAGAGAGCGTCAGATAAATCCTTCACAGGAAACCTTTTGCTTTTGGGGGAATTTGACCCACCAGGTGGCTGGTCAGAGCTGTGAGGCCTCTTGGTAAGCCTCCTTTCAGCCAGGAGAAAGGGCAGGAAAACAACGGGGTGCCAGGGCTCAGCCAGGCCTTGGAAGCTCCCAGGGAGTAGGCTTGGATCATCCTTTGTTTTCCCTGCCCAGGGATGGGGAAGCCGGAGAAAAGCAGGTTCTCCAGCCAAAGCACTAACTGAAAAAGCTCCAACTGGGGATCTGACAAGGTCAGGGAGGGTCTCCCAATCTTACTCAAAATCCTACCAAGCCGTCC